TAGCATAGCATAGGTAGAATTCCACCTATGCTTTACATCTAATATAAAATGTTTATATTTTAAACCATAATTTTGACATAAATATTTAAATTCTTACTTTCTTGCCCCTAAACTTTTTATATATATAATACAATTTCTAACTTTTGAAATATGAGTAGAAATAATATTCAAGGCATCTTGAATACATAAATTTAAGATGTGCCATGCACATCTAATATGAAATAATTTACCAATTAAGCATAGTCTTAATTGAGATTTTAAAATATTTATTGCATAATCATTATTGCTGGCATTATCAAAACTAATAGAAAATATTTTCTATTCCATAAGCATGCAAAGTATTTAAAATACTTGCGGCAATAGCCAGGACACTATGTGGCCATTCAAGCTTAGTAAAACTTAAAATTCTTTTATTCAAAAGCCAATTTTCATAATGAAATTGTCGATAACACAAATATAACTAATATTAAATTTGGATGTCCAAACATCCGAAGTAATTGTAACTTTAGAATTAAAATTTGCTAACAAAGAAATTAAATTTTGTTTATATGAATAAAAAAATTTTAAAGCATCAGTTCTTATAGTATTCCTAGAATTATTTTTTATATTGTGGGTTTACAGAACTATGCAACTATTTTTTCTAGTTTTGGATTTTCAACTAATATAAATGGTTGTTTTGCATGTACAATATAATTAGCAAGTTCTTGTACCATTTTTTCTTGTGAATATTTGAAAGTACCAAAACTATTCCCCCCTCCCCCCCCCCCAATCTGTGTTTGGGTTGTTTCTCTCCCTTCATCTTCTTCTTTCTTATGTATGAGTAGATGTCTGCTCAAATGACCAGTACCACCCTTACTACANTACCAAAACTACTCCCCCTTCCAATCTGTGTTTGGGTTGTTTCTCTCCCTTCATCTTCTTCTTTCTTATGTATGAGTAGATGTCTGCTCAAATGACCAGTACCACCCTTACTACAATAACTAAAGTCCTTACATTTTTGGCAAATGGTAATTTTCCCCTTCCCCTCAATATCCTCTACTTTGAAAATTTTCCAAACCGGAGTACTCAATTTAGAAGCCCTCTTTTTTCCCCTAGTATCAGTACCGGAGGTGAAAGTTCCACTTCCGTTAACATCAATCGCATTAGTGCTAACACTATCATGATGCGATTGAAATCATCAACGGTGAACATGTTGGGGAATCGGTTTTCAGAAGAGTCGACTATTTTTTTAATTCTAAAAAAGATAAAAATTAATCTAATTCAACTTACCTGGATAGTAAGTTCAAAATCCCAACTTGATTTCAACGGTTGAAGCCTTTCAACGTCTAAGCCTCCCAAATTGAGATATTTGAGCTAGTTAAGCAAGCCTTCTTCTTGTTGAAAGTTGAAACTTCAATAAAGTTGAGACTTGAAAATTGGAGAATGCAGAATCAGACAATTAGCTAATTAGAATTACTTAGATTGCAAAGAATTGAGAATGTACAAGTATGAGAGAGAGAAAGAGAATAGATTAAGAGAATTGTTGAAATAGTGTGATGAGAATGGTGGAGGATAGGGTTATTTATAGGAATTGAACATAATTCAATGCCCAAAATACCCAAAAAACTAGTTGTTATTTAGTTGTTGGGGGGGTATTTTGGTCATTGTAAAGTTATTTATTTTGGTCATTGTAAAGTTATTTATTTTGGTCATTGTAAGTTTATTTATAACTTTACTCAAAACACCCCCCTAAATTAGTTGTTATATAGCTGTTGGGGGGCATTTATGTCATTTTTTCAACCCTTATGAACAAAATACACAAATACCCCCCTAATATGACTGTTTATAACTCCCCCCCCCCCAAAAAAAAGCTATAACTAGCCGTTGGGCCCCTTTATGAGAGGGAGGGGGGGAACTATTCCAAGCAAACTGTACTCGGCCCACTACGGGCCTCGAACCCCAACCCAACATGGCACAAACCTTCGTGCCAGGCCACACAAGCGGCCCAGCCCGATTTACACCTCTAGTATTGCTAACACCGGCTAATAAATTGATTGGAGATTCCTCAAAATCCCCTTCCCCGACCTCAACTATGATAAGAGTATTATTACCCACAATCATATACAATTATTTTCTAATCAACGAAACTGTTTTCATATAAAAAAAAAGCTGTGATAAAAAATTCCTATTAATCTCCGTTCTGCCCTATCTCCGCCCTACCAAAGCCATAATATGCAATAATTCCCCCCATACTACGTTTCACAAGTTGACATGCCCCGTGAATTGGGAACATCTCCATGAGATGTTCTCGACGTGTGGCTGCGATAAATGTAGACAAGTTTTTCGTGGACGGGAGATCCGGGCTCCTATATAATAGTGTGGTGTAACATCTGTCCCGAACTCTAAATTTTTTAATTTTTTTGAGGGACTAATTTTTTTACAAAAACAATTTTTTTAATTAAACGATAAAAGGATTGCAAACCTTTTTTTATGGTTTAAACAATTGAAGAGTCCCACTACGATAATGATGACAGTATATAGTCGCAAATCGCAATGAATCATTCACTCTCTGCGTTTACCGGTAAACACTACATGAGTTGATTTTCGGTAGTTGTATTCTGATTTATTTGACTGGTTAGATTTTAGACCGTTCTGTCTTTTTGTTGATAATTGACCGTTCTGCTGGTGAGAGTAATACAGGCAAATCTCAGATTTCTTTAACTTCTGGTTCTGGAATCAAATTTCTGTAAGTTTTCTATAAAAAAAGAAAGAAAATTTCTGTGATTCCATGATTTCCATCTCTTTCTCTCTCAGACAAAAAAAAAAAAAAGAGTTCCGTGATTGAATTGGCCTAGGGAAGAAAGAATATTCATATTCGTGCGAAAGCATAAAATCCATCGATATAGCGAAAAAAAAGTGCTTGCTTGCTGACAAATATACCGAACTCCGAAAGTTGAATTTCTTAAACAAGTAAAGGAATCAACTGTGGGGTGGTACTGACTGAGCGACATTTTCGACCCCTCATCTTCTGAATCTCAGCCAAAAAGTAGTACTCTTTGGCTATTCGGCCTGATTTATCATGGTGGCTATCGGAGCAACTCTCTCAACACTCATTTTCTCGCCGGTTTCCCGCCGCCAAATTTCGTCAGCTGCCGGAAAATTTAATAAGAGGCGGATTTCAGCCCGAGGATCAGTCCTATCCTCCGAACAATCTCCAACTGTCCTCTTTGGAAATGGGAGTTTCGAGAAGAAATTTGATACTGAGATACTTCCGAATGCTTTCGACAACGTCGATCTCGAAAGGTTGAGCGTCAAAGATTACCTCGAATGTTCCAAGGATCTAATCAAACCGGACGGCGGACCTCCTCGTTGGTTTTCACCTCTGGAGTGCGCCTCTCGATTAGAGAACTCCCCTCTTCTCCTGTACTTACCCGGTAATGTCTTTTATTTATTTATTTACCAACTCTCCTCCCCCTGCGGTTGTCAGAAAGTTACTTAAACGGCCTTTGTTTCTTCTTTAGTTTGTCGCTCCGTCTTGGAAAAAATAAGATGATTAGCCGTTTCTATTAATAAGTTGTATTGTAGCGATTGTAGCGACTTGTTTTTAAGCCAAATTAGTTGGCTACCGGTTTACTTCATTTCTTGCATTCCTGTTCAACTTCTTGCAACATTTTCTCCTTAGATCTATTAACAGCTCTTATATTGGTTTCTTACTTTCTGTATTTTTTAATTTTAATCGAGAAATTACCAACTAAGAAAAATTTTAAATATTTCGTATTTTCATATTTAAATTTTAGCCCTTGTATTTTGAGAAGTCTGGCTTCTTTTATTCTGATCTATGTCTTTTGTAAGAGAAATCTATCGTTAAGAAAAATTTTAAATATTTCATAATGTTTATTCTATTTACAGTACGAATTTATGCATATCCAGTTTACCCACTGAATTTCTTGATAAATTGTTCCTACATTTTGCATTTTTTTTTACGTTTCTTTTTAATTTTTCAATAATTCTATTGGATTAGCTGATATTCTGCATTATGAAGAAATAATTATTCTTCTCTGAATGTTTAGATTTCAAAATCAGCATATGAATATTCACTTAGACTCGTTTTTGAACTATTACATGAATTTTCCATTTAACTAACCTCTTATTATTTGGTTACTTTTATTTTTCAGATATAGATGGCGTTGGACTTGGACTCATTTTGCATCACCAGAGATTAGGCAGGTAAATACTTGGAAAGGGTTGTAAAAGTTAAGAATTTTATTCAGATTCAAATGTTTGATCATATCCTTATTCATGTGCCCAGTACTGCAGCACATCTATCATCATCAATGGCTGAGAAAGTGTCTTGAGAGCTGCATGTATCTAAACCAATGAATGGTGATAGTGTTGATGGATTAGTGTTGATGTCTGGTTTAGTGGTCTATCTCATATTATATTTATTGTTGTCTGATCTGTGATTTTCTTTGGATGAAGGATATTTGATATATGGTGCTTGCATATCCCTGGGATGGATCGGACACCATTTACAGGTCTGTATGTGTGTGTGTGTGTTAATATTTCCTAAGCACCGATTTAATTATCATTGTATATGTTCAATAATTGAATATGATATTATCCTAACCAAATATTTTCAAAATTTTCATGCATCCAGGTCTGGTCCAACTTGTTGAAAGGACAGTTAAATCAGAAAATTCTCGTTCACCTAATAGACCTATATATCTTGTTGGAGATTCTCTTGGAGCATGCCTTGCACTAGCTGTTGCAGCTCTTAACCGTGATATTGATCTTATTCTAATTTTGGCTAACCCAGGTGAAATTTCATTTCCCTTAAGAATATGCTACAGTAAGTCTAACCATGCTGATAGCTTGCAGTGGTATTTGGATCCTTAGAATCTGTTGAGGCACTATTGTCATTTTTCTTGAAGAAGGTAAAGTTGTATTAATTCAAAAAAGTGTATGGTCCTCTGTATAATGAGATTTTGTACAATATATACACAAAAAAGTGCATGGTCCACTGTCATGGGCATGGTATACATGCTGGATATGGTTTGTATTTATTTAACTCCTTCACGTCAAAAGAATCAACTCTTTTGAGTCTCAGTGATATTTTAATCCCTACACAACATGTCAAAAAGGGAAGCTTATGTTGTTGAAAAATGCTGTGATACCCAAATACCTGTACATGCTTAGTGTATTAGTGTTGGATACAATATGACACAGGATAATGCATGGACACTTATAGGGTATATTTTATGGCATTCACACTTTAATAGATGTAAAATGGTGTACTAACAAATCATAATGTAGCTTTTACCAAAGAAAAAAACAAATCATAGTATAAAAAAATCTGTTTACCTTAGAAGTTTAATTAAAATTTGCAAGACACAGTATAGCTTCAAAGGCTAGATACTAAAAGCGGGATATACACATATTAAATGGGATACCCCTACAAGTATCTATTTCCTAGATAGTAGGAAATGGTGTTGTATATCCACATCCCATATCCATGTCTCTGTTGGTATATTTGGGCATCATAGGGAGAAGGAAGTTGAGGCTATCTAATGCAGGAAGCAATTGGTCAAATATGGAAATTGCTGAAAATTTTATGTACATTTTATTTTTCAACAGTAAAGTTATTTTGGTCATTTTACAAAATGTCAGTTGGATCTGTCTTAATTGTTTAGAAATATTTTCTTACAACAGTGGCAATTTTATAATTTCCATTTTCCTTAGTTCTATTAGGATTAGACACCCCATAGTGTGTATGCACATGTGTTTTTCAGTAAAATATGTGGTGAATGATATTGGAGTGAATTCTTATGTTTATTATTTTCATGGTGAGTGATTTCCATTTGCCACAAACCCTAGAATGATGCTAGGTCTCTATTTAATGATTCCAAGTTTCTCTCTTCTTCCTCTCTTTCTATCTTCTCTGGCATCGTTAGATAGTAGGAGTATTTTAAAATTTTAACCATTTTATATGTTGTCTGTGGGATCTAGTCTTCGGTTTGATTTGTTTTATGTTTTCTAAACCCTATCCCCTACGCCTTCGATTTTTCTTTGAAAAATTCTAATCCTAGACTTGTTTTCTTCATTTCAAAGTTTTTCACTATTTTGGAATAAATCTGCAATTCTTACAGTTAAGACCTGGAGCCACCCTTCCTAACATCACCAATCTTAAATCCTGAAATCGACATCCCTAAACTATTTCTAGCCTATCATTACCCCTTAGACTCATCTATCAGTCATTCGACTCTTGCACTATACAAGTTCTTCATCAATTGGTATTGGAGCATCCACTCCTATATCAGTTGGTATCAAAGCTACAGGTCCTAGATCAATTGGTATCCAAGCAGGTAATCCACATTACTTGGCATAGAGCAGTCAGTCCTACATTACTATGTTATCCTAATACTTCAGAATGTTTTCCATGTCCTACATTAATCGGTACCCAAGCAGGCAATCCTACATTACTTGGCATAGAACAGCCAGTCCTGCATCACTATGCCATCCTAATACTTCAGAATGTTTTCCATGTCCTACATCAATTGGTATCCAGGCAAGCAATCCTACATCACTATGTTATCCTAATACTTCAGAATGTTTTCCATGTCCATACTAAATATTTAAAATTTCTATGGAAATGGTGAATCCCAGCCTTACCTATCCTGCTATACACAGATAATAGAGCTAAGGATCAAATGGGATGTAAGGTAAGGTTTGACATACTTCATTTAACCTGACCAAGCATCCTCATTGACATCCCCACAAAGTGTGTACCAGAATTTGGACAGAGAAAGAAAACAGAAGAAAAGAAGCATAATAGAAGTATATAGTAAGAAGGAAAAGAATGGACGATAGCTATATGAAAAGACATGAACAATATACACATCCCAGAGATGAAGCCCAACAAACAAATAAGCAGTCACATTTAATCCAAGAACCCATGAGTTCCCCCCTTCATGCCTCGTCCTCCACTAATCTTCCAAGGCAACCAAAAATGAGAATGTCCTGACTAAGCAGGGGCATAGAGCACTTCCTTACCACCCATTATCCGTGCTTGTCTTTACAGACTTCATCAGATCTCCTGCCTGCACCTCCCAAACTCCCATCTCTTGATTCTTTCCCATTCCTCAGTCCTTACTTATCTTTGATCTGATAATTATTCCTTTCCCACTTATACCACCTTAAAGTAAAGCAATTGACCCATCCTTTTACTCCAAATCCTGAGAGAAGGCATTAGCAATGTAGATGCAACCAAGGAAGTGTCAAGACTGTTGGAACAGACCAACAGAAGGCAGTTAGTCAGTTTTACAAGAGGAGGCCACATCAGCTCAACTAACCAGCCACTTGTAACAACTGCCACCCAATTGGACTGTCAAGACTGTTGAAACAGACCAACAGAAGGCAGTTAGTCAGTTACAAGAAGAGGCCACATCAGCAGCCACTTGTCACAACTGCCATCCACTTKTAACAGYTGTAACAGTCAAGATTGTAACACTATAAGTAGTAGAGCCAAAAAGTAATAAAGGAGGACTCTTTCAGCATTAACTCTCTCTCTCTCTCTCTCTCTCTCTCCCCCCCCCTCTCCTTCCAAGAATTCAGGAGGTTGGCCCCTCGAAGAGTTAGGCAGGTTCCTAACAATTTGGTATCAGAGCCAGCATGACCAACACAAGAAACACATCAGTAGACACCCGAGTGGATCAAATGGAGGTTGAGATTCATCGAATGTCTTCAGATCTCAAAGAAATGAAGGAAAGCTTCACTGCTCTCCTCCATCGACTAGAGCAGGGGGCAACAAACATTGACAGAGGAAGCCCCGAAGAGCGCAGCAATGAAAACAGTCGCAGAACAAGGGTGACAACGAAAAGCCAAAATCAACTTCCACATATTCTCAGGCGGCGACCCAACCCCCTGGATTCTCAGAGCAGAAAGGTATTTCGATTACCATGAAACACCGGGATAGGATAGGGTAGCTCTGGCTTCTGCACATCTTGAAGGGGAAGCTATCCTCTGGTTTCAATGGTACCGAAGGGGGCACCCCTGTCAAACCTGGGCAGACTTCACGGACGCCATTGGATCATCTGGGTTCGAAGATCTTGATGAAAACTTGGCAAAACTGCGGCAGGTGGAATCAGTAAAAGAATACCAAATGGAGTTTGAAAGGCTGGCCGTGAGAGTCCAAGGATGGACTGAGAAGGCGCTGGTGGGAAGCTTCATCGGCGGCCTAAAGGAAGAATTGCGACTGGAAGTGAAGGCGATGCAGCCCACTTTCGTCATCAATGCGGCAGCACTAGCAAGATTGTATGAGGACAAGTTCAGTCAAGCAAGACAGGTGCAGCAACCATGGGGTCCAGAAGCAAGAAGGGAGCAAGAAAGGACGACAGCACCAAACAAGGAGGAAGGAGTACTGGGCCCAGGCCCACTGGTTCCTTTCAAACGACTGACTTGGGCAGAGATGCAAGCCCGCAGAGACAAAGGTCTCTGTTACAACTGCGAAGAGAAATTTGGGCCGGGCCATCACTGCAAGAAACAACAAGTGTTTCTCCTCCAAGCAGATGCCGAAGAGGAAGACGACATCCCCGGGTGCGGAGAATCTAACCCAGAGTGGGAAATACAATCCAATGGCACGCCTGAAATATCCTTACAAGCCCTTACGGGACTTGCGTCCCCTCCCCTCAAACAATGAGTTGCAGGGCTGATTCTAGGACGCTAAGTGTCAATCCTCATAGACAGTGGCAGCTCCCTTAACTTCATAACTCAAGTCTTGGTGGATAAAATGGGACTTCC